TGGACACTCCCAGGGATGGGACACTTCCAGCACGTTGAATCCAGATTCCAGCCCCAATAAACCCCAAACCCCTCTGATTTCCAGTGCTTTCCACAAGTGGTTGTTTCAGGCCACTGCAGTCCCACTCCTTCCCCTTAATGCTCCCAGGGAGGCACTGACACCACCAAAATGTCACTCCTAACAAGCTGGTATTTTATGGGAATCCTAAATGACCTTGATCAGGCTCCTGCCTGATCCCAACGTTCTAAAAAGCTCTTCTGGCAGGATTTTCAGGTTATTCATCTTTCCTCCAGGTGTGTGCACACAGCCCTGAGTCATGGGCCACGAACAGATGGGAGCTCTCTTATATTTATGACCTGCCATCTCTCTTTTCTTTTTTTTTTTTCCTAGAAATTAATTTTTCATCAAACCACTTTGAAAAATCTTTGAATTAACTTAATAACTTCATTCAAGGGGGAAAGATAACCTAGAACAGGCAGTTTTTAAGAAAACTCTTTGTGCTTGATTAATCAGCAAGTTGACCCTCTGGATATTGGATAAAAGGTGTGGGATTATCCCTTCTGGTTAAATCAGTTTTCCTTGTCTCTGGTCCCTTTTATAGGCAGCATCACCCCCCTGCCTCATTTTCTGTGGTGAATTCCTGCACATAGTTCATAACCACGAGTGTTAATTAATGGGGTCACAGGGAAAGTGGGACAGGAAAAGGGGACAATCCCAGGAACTGGGACCTGCTGCTTCTGCCCCCCAAGAGATTTGCAAATTACAGATGAAAACACTCCTGCAGAGCACACACACACACAGAAAGTTTGTGGTGGGTGTTTTGTCAAAAGATTCACAGGTTTGGAGTGTCTCAGGTGTTCAAGTGCAGGGGAAGTGCTCTTGATGGGAATTGAATTGCCTTGGAATAGCTGGGAGCAGAGAGAGAGCCCCAGTTGGTTGTGGCAAACTGCTGGGAAAAACCCTCTTGGGCTGTAAAACATCATATTATAGAAAGTAATTAACACAGTATAGATAAATATAAAATAAGGGCCACCTGATGGGGACCTGACTTGTCTTGGAATAGTTGGGAGGAGAGAGTGAGCCCTAATTTTTTGAGACAGACTGGTGGGAGTGCAGCAGATAGTACAATACTCTTGTATTGTATCATCATATGCATAATGTTCTACATAAAAACCAATATAGCAAAACACATCTAAATAATACATGAGATATATATAATATATATAATATATAAATACATCTAAATAATATATGGTAATATATACAAATATAAAATAATAATTAAATCTGTCAAAAATAAAACAAGCACAAAATAAAGCAACAACTAAGAACCAAGAGAAACGTGGATTTCAGAAACTACCAGGAATCAGGTCCAAGGAGATTGGCCTGGCCAAGGCCTCCCCTGGGGCTTTTGGGAACACTGAGGTGCCATCATTAGGAAGGTGACATTATAAAGGTGATGCCATCCTTAGGGCTCAGTGGCAGCTCTCTCAGGGCACAATCCAAGCCCACCCCTGTTGTTCCACATGCTAAACTGAGCTTTCCTGAGCCTTTTCTAACCAACCACCCCAGCAAAGGCACTGCTGGAGAGATTTATTGGTGCAGCAAAGTCAAGTAAATTCAGTGGTACCTGATGTAAATCAGCTTTTCCCACTTGGGCTCAGCAAAGGTGCTGGAACTGCAGGGCCACAGGAGGCTCTTTTTGTCTGTTCTCACTCAGTGAAGGAGAAGAGAGAGGGAAATTAGGGCTGTTCAGGCAACACTGACATTTGGAGAGGCAGTGAACTGCTCACATCAGAACACACTGGATCCTCAGTGTGGATAAAACATGCCCAGGCTGGCCATGGATACCTGACAGGACATCCTGGTACACTGGGTACAGAAAAACCCTAATTTTGCCCTTTGACAAAACATCCCAGGGCTTTCAGCTCCACTGACACGGGCACAAAGGGGGCAGAGGAAACAACTGAGCCCTAAATATTTTCCCTGTTGGCTTCCCACACTCGTGGGAGCCCTGCTATTTATATGCATGAATGATTTATTTCTCTATTACCAGTTACCTCCCTTGATTAAATATATTAGTGCCTTTTAAGTTATTTCAAGCTACAATCATTTTAAAATTAAATGATCCTTCGAGTACCCTTTGGGAGCTGAACACTAAACTGACAGTTCCAAAATGCAAAAAAAATACGGTAGTTGTGCTGATTTGATTAATTAAACTGTACCTTTGATCACAGAAACCAAACAGGAGAATATTAAACCTCTTTTTAATTTGAGAAAAGCAGTAAAATAGCAAAATGGAGGCTCTATTGTCATGGTCAAATGCTGTCTGTGTTCACTTGACAGCTTGAACTGTCACCTTAGGCTGCTGGAATTTCATTTGGCTTCACCAAATGTCCCCAGAAGAGCATTTCTGGGATCCCCCCCCCTGCTGCTGATCGATTATGTCCGAGCAGGAAACGTCTTAAAAACTTTTCTCCCTTTAAGCCTTGCAAAAGATCTGAATTTAAATGGCACTTTTAAGGCTCTTTGGAGCCCGGGTACAACAGCAGCCCGGCTTTTGAAGAGCTCACAGAAATACTTCTGGGCCGAAAGAAAGGGGAGAAGTGACAAAAAGAGGAAGATAAAAGCAATCCCAAGTCCCAAACCTACAGAATCCCCTCAGCCTTGGCCTATTCTTTAGAACTAAACCTCATTTTGCAAATCAAAGGAGCAGCTGCTGAACTTGCCTTAAAAAAGAGGTGGGTGCTGAATGCAGGGCTGAGTGCAGGGACACTGGTGCTGCCATCCATCCAGCAGCCCCTCGGCTCCTCCTGCTCCCACCCAGGCTCTCCCCAGCCCCGGACCCATCCAGGACACCACGGATGGGCTCCCACTCTGAACCTCCCAGCCCCCTTGGGCTTCACCCTGGGGAAGGAGGCTCAGCCCCCCCAGAGGATGCTCTGCAGCAAACATGGGCAGGGCTGCCCAAATACCGCAGCAAAAAAGCCACAGGTCAGTATTTAGAGCCAGCACTGGGTATCCTCACCTGTGCAATTAGATGGTACTGGGAAAGGGACAAAACAGGGGGGAAATTTTTTTTCTCTCTTTGGACAAAACCTTGAAAAAAAAAATCAAAAATTCCACACAGAAGCCTAAATTGATTTAAAAAAAAAAAATCCTCCAAACATTTTCGGCTTTCACTAGTGCTTAACACCACGTCTCCCTGTGTGAAAAGACCCTTCAAATTGGATTTGCAGTGCTGTCTGTATGTTTTATTTCCCTTTGTGAGCCGAGGGAGTGCTGCTTTGTAAGATTTATCCTGGGCAATTAATATATCAAGCAGAGAATCCCACCACTGATTTCCCCAAAGAGGTTTTGGCAGCTCTGGGTTGCACTGGGAGCTCCTGCCCGTAGGTCTGAACCCTCTAAAAGTTATTAAAGAGCACGAGGACGTCACCAAATTAAAGCAATTCAGTTAAAATGAACGTGGCACTTTATCCACCCAAAGCCAACATATGTTACACATGATAAAAATCTCGGCTTTCCACCCCAAAACAACAGGTGTCTCGGTGATAAAAGTCAAGACAAAAGTGCTAAAGCCTCTCACATACTTTCCCCAATTTCTACAGCAACAGAGCTGTGACAGAGGGCTCCTGACTGCTCAATTTGATGGCCAGGCAGACTTATAAAAGCTGAAATGCTGAGTTTCCTAGGGGAAGACATAATGAAATCAATGCACTCATGAATATGGATGGAGGGACAGGGCCATCTGTTCGCCACCAACATCTTTGCTTAAAACAAGTTTCGAATATTTCGCCTGAGAAGTCGCATCTTTATTTCCAGGGATAAAATTAGACCTCGAATGTTCACCATCTCCGGTCTTTAAGTGCCATTGTTATGGAAATGTAGGGTTTTTTCCCCCCAAATGATAATCAAAAGATTGACTGATAATACAGTTTGACAAAGTTCAGGTGGAGATTTCAGCGTGTCTGTGGAGAAGCTTCAAAATATTGACAGTCGGGGCACGTGGCACATAATGTAAATATAACTTGCTCTGTCCTCCTCAGAGAAACAAGAGCCTGTGATGTCCTGCCCTCATTTGTATCCTACATCCATCTGACTTCCCTTCTGTTTTGAGGGAAAACATCATAAGGCATTTTTATTCTGCATTCATGAAGCTGGTGTTAGTGTGGCCCCTGATGTGCAGGGGGGAACAGGGAACGGGTGGAGGAGCTGCTGCTCCCATCCCTGGGGGGGGTAGGAATGATCCAGGAGCTCCCCAGGCCCAGCTGCTCCTGAGGGTTGCCTGGAAGGCTGAGGGGATGCCGGGCTGGGATAAGCTGAGCTCTCAGGTCACTGCGGGGAAGCTGAGGCTGAGCCAGGCAGGGCAGCTCAGCCCCCACTGGTGCACTCTGAGAGGGCTTTTGGGAGCCAGGAGCCAAGCTGGGGGAATTAAAACCCAAACCACTGCAAATGATCCCCTGGAGAAAAGACAGCTCCAAGGGGATCCCACCAACACACAAGGATCTCAGGGCAGGTGCCAGGAGGACGGGGCCACACTCTGTGTGCCCAGGGACAGGATGAGGGGTAAGGGCACAGCTGAATGCCAAAGTTCCATCGGAATATGAGGGAAAACTTCCTTACTGTGAGGGTGACAGAGCCCTGAACAGGTGCCCAGAGAGGTTGTGGAGTCTCCTTCCCATGAGATATTCAAAGCCACTTGATGTGACCCTGTGCCCTGCTCAGGGTGACCCTGCTCGGGCAGGGCGTTGGATCACGTGTTCTCCAGAGGATCCCTTCCAACCCCAACCAGCCTGGGATTCTGGAAGTCACAAACTGTGTGGCAGCAGGAGCAGAGCTGAGGCCCCTCATAGGAACCATCTCAAGCAGGTTGCTCTCAATTACTGTGCTCAGTGTTAATTAATAGTCAGCTCTTGGTTACTCGGAGCAACAAAACTGAGACAGCCCAGATGGATGAAATTCTGACATCAAAGAAATGAGTGTAAGAACATACTCACAGGGCAGGGCATTGGCACAGAGTGCTCCTCCCTGGGGTCCAGCTCAGCCCCACAGGCTCCAGCAGTGGGTGATGGCTGGGACCTGGGTTTCTCAACATTTCTCAGTCTGTTTGGTTTCAAACCGGAGCAGATACACGAGGTGTCCTGTGATGAACTCTGCAAAAAAAACAAGGAAAAGTAAATCAATTTGGGGCTTGAATGTTGCAGTATCGCAAGCCAAAACATTCCTCTCTGTTTCATAAATACCACGTTGATGGTATTTATGTCTGTTTTAAAAAACATCTCAAAAGAAACCTAAACGAAAAGATACGGGAGTAAAAGCATTAAAACTGAATATTGTCCACACAGTCAGGATTTTTCTAAACAAACCTTGGAAGATCAATACTTGCCCAAACTCTGCAATGTCACTGACATGAGGTTTTGGTCAAAAAAAAAATGCCCCACCAGGGCAGGAAGAGTGACAGGGATGGGAGACACTCTTTGAAACACCACACAGTTATTTCAGGCACGGCCTCTGTGTGAGCCCAAACTCTTCCTGCAGCCCCCCAGCGCTGCCACTGCTCTGCTCAAAGTACAAAGAGCCTCTGACAAAGCCCAGCCGGGGCCCCAAAATCAGGGCAGCCCAGCAGGGAACCCCCAGATCCCTCAGCCCCCGGCTGCAGTCACTAATTAGCTGAGGCTCAGAACGAGCCCCCGATCCTTTCATTGCCCCATCCATGCTGGGAAATGGAAAAGCAGGAGCGGAGCTGTGCAGCACAGCTCGTTAGAGCTCCTCTCCCTAATTACCAGCACTGTGACACTGCCCAGCCGCTCCCCGCTGGAATTGGGGCTGTTCTATTCACAGCTGCCATGGGAAGTGCTGGCTGGAATCATCCAGGGACACCCGACCCAGCCACGCTCCCACCTGGGGATGGAGAACGGGTTGAGCTCACGGCTGGGGCTCATTTCCCAAATTCATTCCTGCAGCTGATCCCGAGCCAGGACAACCTGGACAGGTTACACCAGAACGGCTTCTCCCTTTGCATCCCAAATTCGGGCATTATGCTCAACCTGCTCCTCCACTCCCATTCAAAGGTGCAGATTGCTAAATTTGCATAATAACTATCTACGGCTAATTATCCTGATTTGTTCGTGGAAAGAGCCACTTTCTGCAGGGCTTAAAATCACCATAAACTGTGCATAAGAATCAAGAAAACACCGATTTATCTTATTAACAGTGGAAGCAGTTTAGGTGTTCATTAGCAGGGGATTATTTGAAAGGCATTAAAGGGCTCTAAGGACCAGCTCACCTGACAACCCCTGAGCACCCTGAGGTGCTGCAGGTCAGGGCTGGAGCAGGAGACAATCAGCAGCTCAAAGAGCAATGGGTGAGGCCAAAGGAGCACCCAGGGGTAACCATCCTAGGAATTCCTATTTGGCACAACAGGCACACACTGTGTGGACACTGCAAAGGTGCAGAAACCTCTGAGAAAGGTGTTAGTTGAAGAAAAGTGAGATAAAACCAAGTGCTTGCAGCAGCAGTGTGTAGGTGAGCTCAGCAAGCTCCCGTGCATAGAAAACAGGCAGTTAAAATTCATTTTCTGCCTTTTTTAGCATGATTTTGGACATATTTCTATCAAGGTGCAAAGCTGAGCTCCTGTTTCCTAGAGAGCTTCGATGCCTCCCTGATATTCTCAGTGCTCTGCTTGGCTGGCAGCTGCTCCCAGCCCTCCCCTTCCAGCAGCTGTCAGAGCAGTTCCCATAATATTCATGGACTCTCCATGTTTTCCAGCAGCAGGTGGTACAATTTCTGTATCTGCAAACCATCAACATCCACATCCAGATTTTTCTGCTTAACAGCTACTACACAGCCACAAAGTGTTATCTTTTCCTGCACGTAATTTTAATACCCCCCAGTAAAAGCTAAAGTGAGGAACTTGTGTTTAAGGAAAAGATGTTCCCATGGAACTTTAAGTGAGATTTTCACAGTGGGAAGAGATTACAATAATGGAGACTCTAAAATATAGAGCCATTCACTCTCCCTTTTTCCCGTGTCCCAGAAATATCCTCCTTAGTTTTTCACTATGGAATTGCCACAGGCACCCAGGCCATGGGGATGCTTGGAACGGGACAAACTCCTTACACAGCTTGGAAAACCCCAGGCAAAAGAAGTCAAAGGATCCAGAGAATGAATGAGAAGCAGATTGCACTAAAGTTTCCCCTTCAAAGACCCCAAACCCTTTACTTTGTGCTGGTACAAAGAAATGTGAAACCCAAACCAAAATAATTATTTGCTGTTTTGCCATCAAAGTTTCCACGAGACTTAATGGAATTGGGCAGCTTTCAAACCAACAGCTAATTTCCACCAGAAACAGATCCACTATCCATGTCCCTAAAAAAAAAAAAAAAAAAATCTATGGATTTTGGATTTTGAAACACAACCCCTTCCCTGGTAAAGCCATGAAACACAGAATTACGTTCCCATGACAAACTGCACGACTATAAATCTTTATTTCATGGTGGCGTGATGGATTTAATAACAGGATGCATTTAACAATTCCTTTTTGCCAACCTCTTCCTTAATTTCTTAGGAAAGAACTTGCTGGGTTTAAGGCAGGTTTTAAGGAGCTAATTTTCCTTAGTGATCCTGAAAAGAGCTGGAGTGTAATTGCCAGGGAGTTAATGGAGTCATTGTGCATATTTTTGTTCTTCATTTTCCCAAGCACAATTTGAACCTTCCAGAGAGGTAACAAAGAACAGAATATTAGAGGCATCTTTTCCAGCCCATCAGGTGAGATTCTCATCACACACCAACCCCATGCAGCTAAAAATTCAACTGCAAAACCTGTGTCAGCTGCTCTCCAAAACAGTTTTCTGTGTCAATAAAGCAGCAAGTCATAAATAAATAATAACACACAACGGCCAGAGGTGTCCCTGCTTTTAGGGAATCTGCTGGAATTACTGTCCTGCCTGTGTGTGAGGGTCAGTGTGTTACTCCTTCCTTGCCCAGGGCAAGGGATTGGAACAAGAATCCCAGGATCGCTGAGGTTGGAAAAGCCCTCCCAGTCCATAGAACCCCAGCCCATGGATACCCCCTGTGCCCCATCTCCACCTTGTCCCCAGCCCAGAGCACTGAGTGTCACAGCCAGGCCTTCCTTGGGCACCTCCAGGGCTGGGCACTCCAAACCTCCCTGGGCAGCCCCTTCCAGTGCCTGACCACCCTTTCCAGGGAGAAATTCCTCCTGATGTCCAACCTGACCCTCCCCTGGCACAGCTGGAGGCCGTTCCCTCTCCTCCTGTCCCTTGTTCCCTGGGAGACCTGCTGACCTTTGAGGTCCCTCCCAAGAGGAACTACTCTAGGGCTCTATAAATGCAAACACCTCCCTCTCCTTTCATCTCCTGCTTCCTGAAAATGGTGTCCCCTCATTCCATCCCTGCAGCACACCCTGCCCAGGCCCACAGGCTGCTTCTTCATCATCATCATCATCATCATCATCATCATCACCACCACCACCACTCAGGAGTTCCTGCTGAGGGCTCCCAAACACCCCCAGCTGACACAACACACCCTTGTCTGGGCTCCTTCATCTCCACCATGGACCCACCCAACCACCTGCACACCAAGGAGGCAAATGGAGCACCAGTTCCTTGGTTTTCAGGCCAAAAATCAGCTTTTTAGGATGCAAACCAGGTATATCCATCCCCTCCTTGCTGGGCAGTTTGGAGCAGGGAGGGGTGCTGAGCACCCACCACCCAGGGGAGAAAACCCAACTGTTCCTCACAAATGGCCAAGGACTTTTTGCAAAGAATGGGGGGGTTTTTTTGCCACAAGGTTGATTTTGATCTTGAAGACTAAAGAAACATCAAAGGGAAGTACCTGTGGGTATATGATATTCTCCTAGAACAGGCATGGGCTCATGAATACCGATTTATAAATATTCAGGATAAATATTGTACACTGAGAGTTCACCTGAGCCCTGCTCTGCTCCCCCTGCAGCCCCATGGAGGTTTGGACTATCCCACCTTGGGTTTCACCTGCTGTTCAGCATCCAGCTCCTGTCCCACCTCAGGGTTCTTTCTGTGCCCAGGCTGTGCTGTAAATGTGGTTTGAGGCAGTGCTGGGTTTGCAAAGGCAGCTTTGGGCATGTGGGGCAGAGGGAGGGGAAGGCTGGAAGCCAAAGCAAGGTACTCACAGGAAAAATGATCAGTAACCCAGGCTGAAACCAAAAGGACAATTATCAAAAATGGCAAATTCCACTTCATTTCTCAGCAAAAAGAAAACCTGAAAGAGCACCAGGCTTTGCACACCTTCCCAGCTGGGCTTGCCCAGGGCACACAGAACGAATTTGGATTTATCCTCTCCACGGTTGTTTCCAGAGCCAACTGCAGAGCAGGGGGGTATCACTTCGTTCCAAACTCCACTGCTCCAGCTCGGAAAAGCTGCTCCCAGTCCTGCTCTCCAAGCTGCCTTTGCAGCCCAGCATCATTTCTAATCTCACCCTGAGAAAACCTTCATAAATCTGCTAAATGACCCCGATCTGCAATTTTCTCACTCTCAGTTTGCAGCGTCACCTTATCAAAGAGTTTCTCTGCCCAGATGGATTTAAAAAGCACGTTTATAAAAATCAGAGTCCCCTGATAATCTAATAGGTCTATAAAGAAAACATTTCTTTTTCCCACACAACGCTGGAAAAACCTTGAAACTTGTAAACAGGCAGGAGATGTGACAGCAGCAACTGGTCTCTGTTAACAGCAAAATATAAAGGAAGGAAAATATGAGTAGAAAAAGTGTATCTTGCATATATAATATAGTTTCTGCAGTCAGGTGCTTTCAGGAGCTGCACAAGTTTGACTCAGTGTTGTAATTAAAATGTTCTGTAACAGTGGTAATTATCCCATCAGGTAAAGCACAATGGATGGCAGCACAAGCCTCCAATATAATCATTATTTTAAAGCTTCATTTCAATTTTTGTGGCTTTTAAGCACCTCCCTCCTGCCTGGAAACAAGCATTTTTACTGTGGTCCAAGCCCCTGAGTGGGACAGAGTGGGATTTTTGTTACCTTCTCTCTCTCTCCACTCCACACCAACTGTAATTTTTATCAACTTCAGCCTTTTGAAGAGAACTTATTCTAATAAAATTAGATTAAATTAAAATGAGATTAGTTAAATTAAAATC